GCTAGGATTACAGGCGTGAGCCACCGCGCCCGGCCTTGAATTCTTAAGATAGAGAATTACTGTCTTCTCAGAATGGACGAGAATGAAGCTTTTATGTAGCACTGCATCACTAGCTTTCCCTGTTGTGTACAATCAAGAAAATGCTTTAAAAAAAAACCTTGGTAAATCATCATTTGAAAACACCACTTAGGCATTCACTTGAGAATTGATAACGTACAGATTCAGTCGTCACTACCAAAAAGCAGATTTTCAGGGCTCCAAGGTGGAACTCTTAACAGAAAGTGGCAAATGCTCTTGACATCCCTTGGTGTCCTTCTATGATGACTTTGTGTACAGACTTGAGCTAGGTGTGCTTTGCTGATGGAATCCTCATCTAGGTATTGAGTGCCACCTGCCTGGAATGTTAGGGAGGATGGTGAGTGACAAGGTTTTATACATGATCAAAGTGTGCTATGCCTCCATTCATGGAAATTAATATAGGAAATAATACAGATTGAGGACTTCTAAAATGCAGAAAAATTTTAAAATTTGTTTCAAACAATTTCTGAAACATCCAAGGCATTACAGACTCGTAAGAACAGTTAAAAACATACAATTCTCCACCAAGTAAATTACACCATTGGGTTTTGTGACAAGTAAGTTATTTATTTTTCTAAAAGAATGGCCTTTTTTCTATGTTTGATTTCAATTATACTTTTTGTTCAATCTGTTCCCTTTATTCTGTAATGAAATGATATCTTGAAACTAAAAAATAAAATATGAGCAGGTATGTGTACTAATGCATCACTTTCCAAATCTTAGTTGTAGAGAAAATGGACAATGTCACAGGTGGCATGGAGACATCACGCCAAACCTATGATGACAAGCTCACAGCAGTGGAAAGTGACCTGAAAAAATTAGGTAACCTGTGATAAGAGTGAACCATTAAGTGGAATCCCCTGACTCTACTCTGCGTAGATGACAACAGTCTTTTAGAATGATGTTGCAATAGACTCCCACTCACCTAGAAAGACATTCAATTTTTCTGTTATGTATTGAGCCTTCCTTCACAATTTAATTCAAAGACTTTTACATGTGAAAGTTAAGGACCAATTTCTGGAGTTAGATCCCACCCAAAAAACTATTATGGGCTAAATAAAATCTGAAGATCAATTCTGACTGAAAAAAAAGTCACAGAGACATTCCTGTCTGAAATATTTTAAACTACGTGAAAGAATTGTAGAAATTAATTTATAAAATAAAAAAGCCCAGCCTATTCTCTTCCTTGATTTTTGTTTTCATTTTTTAAAAAAGAATTTTGGTAAATTTAAAAGGTTTTCTTCTTGACACCATGCCCAGTGCCCCAGAATTCAGTCCATTCCCCTCCCTCTTTGGGAAAAGTGTTCACCCAAGTTTGTCGGTCCTAGTACTGAGCACCCTTTCTGATTTCCCAGGACCCAGTTTTAATACATACATACCCACTTTGCTAATGTACATCCATCTGCATATACCACAAATACTATATCTGTAGTATAGTGCATGGTATTCGGGAATCTTTTACCTTGCCCTGAATGCTTCTCCATACCACCAACCTAAGTAACAAACATTTCTTATTCCAGGGGACCAAACTGGAAAGAAAGCTATAAGCACCAATTCAGAACTTTCCACCTTCAGATCAGACATTCTGGACCTCCGCCAGCAACTTCGTGAGATTACAGAGAAGACCAGCAAGAACAAAGATACGCTGGAGAAGTTACAGGCAAGTGGGGACGCGCTGGTGGACAGGCAGAGTCAACTGAAAGAAACTTTGGAGAATAACTCTTTCCTCATCACCACTGTAAACAAAACCCTCCAGGCGTATAATGGCTATGTCACGAATCTGCAGCAAGACACCAGCGTGCTCCAGGGCAATCTGCAGAATCAAATGTATTCTCATAGTGTGGTCATTATGAACCTCAACAACCTGAACCTGACCCAGGTGCAGCAGAGAAACCTTATCACTAATCTGCAACGGTCTGTGGATGACACAAGTCAGGCTATCCAGCGAATCAAGAACGACTTCCAAAATCTGCAGCAGGTTTTCCTTCAAGCCAAGAAGGACACCGATTGGCTGAAGGAGAAAGTACAGAGCTTGCAGACGCTGGCTGCCAACAACTCTGCCTTGGCCAAAGCCAACAACGACACCCTGGAGGATATGAACAACCAGCTCAGCTCATTCACAGGGCAGATGGACAACATCACCACTATCTCTCAGGCCAACGAGCAGAACCTGAAAGACCTTCAGGACTCACACAAGGATGCGGAGAATAGAACGGCCATCAAATTCAGCCAACTGGAGGAACGCTTCCAGCTCTTTGAGACGGATATTGTGAACATCATTAGCAACATCAGTTACACAGCCCACCACCTGCGGACGCTGACCAGCAATCTGAATGAAGTCAGGACCACTTGCACGGATACCCTAACCAAACACATGGATGATCTGACCTCCTTGAATAATACCCTGGCCAACATCCGTTTGGATTCTGTTTCTCTCAGGATGCAACAAGATATGATGAGGTCGAGGTTAGACACTGAAGTGGCCAACTTATCGGTAATTATGGAAGAAATGAAGCTGGTGGACTCCAAGCATGGTCAGCTTATCAAGAATTTTACAATACTCCAAGGTAAGTCAAAATTCTGAATTTGTGTTTGTATTAGTTATCTATTGCTGCATAACAAATTATGCTAAAACTTGGCAATTTAAAAAAATAAATATTTATTATCTCACAGTTTCTGTGGATCAGAAATTCAGCAATGGCTTAGCCAAGTGGTCCTGACTCAGTATTTCTCATAGGTCGTAGTCCAGTTACTAGCCAGGGCTGCACTCATCTGAAGGCTTCACTGGAGCTGGAGGGTATACTTCCAATGTGGCTTATTCACATGGCTCTTGGCAGGAGGCCTCAGTTCTTCACCACGTGAAATTACTTGAGTATCCTCACAACATGGCAGCTGGCTGCCTCCAGAGCAAGTGATCTGAGAGAGAGCACGAAGGAAGATACGATGCCTTTTATAACCTAGCCTGGGCACCATCCCTTCCATCATACTCTGTTCTTTAGAAATAAGTCACTAAGTCCAGCCCCCACACTCAAGGGGAAGGGAATTAAGCTGCTCATCTGAAAAGAGGTGTAACTAAGAATTTGCGGAAAGTGTTCAAAGGTGTTCCACCTATTTGTTGAACAAAAGATTGGTTAATTTGGATTTTTTCAGTACTTGAGCTATTTCAATGCCAATATAAATTGAACTCCTTTGAAAGCAAGATTAATTCTTTTAGGTCATAAAGCTACCATTAAGGGCGTGCTATTTCCAAATGTCGTGAGCAGATGGATGGTTGGCCATCACAGTATCTGTAAGACCACAGAGGAGAGAGACAATGTGACTTACATATAAAATCTGAGTTTTACTATCATCCAGGTCATCCAAATAAATTGAAAGTCCTTGATTCAGGTTGTCTTTCTTTTTTTTTTTTTAGAGCCAGGGTCACACTCTGCCACCAGGCTAAAGTACAGTGGCATGATCATAGCTCACTGTAACCTTAAACTGCTGGGCTCAAGCAGTCCTCCCACCTCAGCCTCCAGAATAGCTGGGACTATAGGTTCATGCCCAGCTAACTTTTCTATTTTTTGTAGGGACCGGGTCTTGCTATGTTGCCCTGGCTTGTCTTGAACTCCTGGCCTCAAGCAATCCTCCCACCATGGCCTCCTGAAGTGCTGGGATTACAGGCATGAGCCACCGTACTCAGCCTTACATCTATTTTTCAGGATTTGCAGCAATCATATATTTACAACATTTTTCAGTCTTAAACTATTTTCACAGGTTTTAAGTTGAAAGTACTGTGTGGAAGATGCTGTGTTCACACTCTGGGGTAGACAATGATGACTAGATTGTCCTTGTCCTTAGGCAGCTTAAAATAAAGAGAATTTTAGGGCATCAGAAGATAGGCTACAAGCAAATGTAGTGCTGAGTTTCAAATAGGAAGCTAAATTGGATTTCCTACACTAAATAAGATGGGAAATTGGTCTTCAAGCCCAAGAAAGATTTGAGAAGAGAAGGGTCATTTGTGAGTTTTCAGGAATCTTCAGTCATCAGAATGAGTTCACTGAGAAGGCAGGTGAACCTAATCTTATTTCCTTATGTTAACAGTTCTAAATTGGTCAAAAGAGGAGAATGAAAAATGGCATGTCTGGGTTTCACCAAGGTATTCGTCAGTGATACCCTTAAGAACAAGAAGGGGAAATAGGTGCTGGGGGATTTATTATTTGTATTAGTTTTCTGTGCTGCATAACAAATTACCACAAACTCAGTAGCTTAATACAACACCCATTTATTACCTCATAGTTTCTGTGGGTCAGGAGTTCAGGCACAGCTTAGGGGGCTCCTCTGCTCAGGGTCTTACCAGGCTGCAGACTCATCGAGGGGCTGTAGTTTCATCAGAATCGCAACTGGAGAAAGATTCGTTTACACGTTCAGGTTCTTGGCAGAATTCATCTTCTTAAGAATAAGATTGAGGTTCCTGTTAGCTGGGTACCACCTGTGGCTCGTAGAAGTCACCCACAGGTCCTTGCCATGTAGTCATCCCACAATATTGCGGCTTCTTCAGAGCCAGTGAAGGAGTCTCTCTCACTCCAGTCTGCTAAGATGGAGCCGTAAATATTGTAGCCTAATCGAGAGAGTGACAGCCCATCACCTTTGCCAGATTCTATGGGTTAAAAGCAAGTCATAGCTGCCACATTCAAAGGGAAGGAATTACACAAGGGCGTGAGCCACTTTAATCAAACAACCGAGTACAGAGAGCGGTTAGTTAATGAGCCCCCGTGAACCTCAAGGCTGGTCCGGATGGTGTATGGCAGGACTCTGTTCAACAGCTTCGTCAGGGACAGCAGGATGATGTGGATGACCTGGTAATCCAATGCTTGTATGACATGAAACTGTATACGCTAACTAGTGGGTGACAGAATCATAGTCCAAAATGATCTAGAGAGGCTGCAATAGTAACAAGATGCCAACCAAATGAAATAGATAGGGAATATAAGTAAAATCCTGCTCATAAATGGGTAAGACCAAACAGACAAATGTTGATGGGAGAACATGGCCCGAAGGAAGCATGCATGAAACATGACGGTTTTGGTTGATTGGAAGCAGTTAAATGTGTCTTCCAGGGAAGAGAATGTGATCTTTCAGTGTTTTCATAAAAATATGACATCCAAAATAAGGGAAGTAACATCTGACTCCATTCAGTATGCCAAGACCAACCCTGGAAGATAATGTTTATTCTGGAAAGCCCCTTTCAGGAGAGACTTTCACAGACCAGCACGCTCAGAAAAATAGCATCAGAGTGACAAGGTCTAGAAACCATGTGCAAGGGTTGAGGGCCTGGGAGCTTTAACCCATAAGAGAACCTGCTTAGTGGGGAACAGGACAACCATCTGCAACTGTTTAAAGTTGCTCCGTCTGTGGATTACCACTGAGTATTCATTAAAGAAAGATTAATTTTGGTTTTGTAGAATGTTCTTTATATAAAGGGATGTTACCTAAAATTATAATAGCTTCCCTGAGTGATATAGGTGCCCCAACTCTAGAGGAGCCAGACAATTACAAGTCAGAGATGTTGTAGGTATGAGCCATACTCTGAATATGGGATGGCCTTCAGGTGATAAGGAAATTCTTCCATGCTTGATTTTTTTTCCTATTCTTTCTCAATCTAAATTCAGAAAGAGGGCAGATAGCAGCAGATGTACAACCTCATAAAATACAAGCTTTCTAAATGTCTCTTGGAATTGTGATACTTTAGACAATCTTATTATGGTATTCTGGATATTTTCTAGCTATTAATTTCATAGTTTTATTATTCCATTAGCTTAATGGTCAGCTTGTCTTTTACAGGGAAACTTCTGACATATTTAGTTTATAGACAGCATGGCTTGCCAGCTAAGTAAGTATATGAAAAGCTCATAGTTGAAGATTAGACTCTGGGTGTTTAAATTAGTTAATGTTTCTTTTATGATTCTTTTTATCAGCTAATGTGGAATGTGAGTGTACTGAGTGCTTTTCACAAACCATCCCAGGGAATCCTGACAACTCTATGAAGGAGGTACTTATACTACCATCTCCTGCTTATAGATGAGGAAATGAAGGCTTGGAGAGGTTTGAGTAACTTGCTCAAGTTTATACACACAAAAAAAGTAGCTAAACAGAATTGGAGCCCAGGCTGTCTGGTGCCAAAGCCCATGCCGTTAACTCCAAGGGTGGTCACTGAAAGTGTGTGCCCTCCTCCCGGCACCTGCCCACCCCAGAAGGAGCCTAGAAGGTCAGGGAGTTAGGATTTTGTCCTAAGTGTGAGGGAGGTTTGAAGCAAGGTGGCGAGATGGTCTGCTTTATACGGTCATTCTGGGAGCTGGGAGGAGAGTAGATTGCAGGGGGCAACGGCGGAGGCAGGCGTGCAGAGAGAGCACGGACCACGTGTCAGGGACTTGGAATGGGAGGGTAGCCGTGGACATGGGAGAGGTGGGTCTTCCCATCCAGGAGGAGTCTTGGACGTGGAATCTAGGGCAGCCCTGCCCTGCCCTGCCAACAAGGCCTCCTGCTTTAGGAGGTCCCGACTGGCCTCCTCCAGCCGAGCCTCTGCTGAGGTGAGCAGTCCACAGACTCAAGGGGCCATGCCAACCCCTTCTTATCCATGTTTGATGCCCAGGGCTGTAGAATGCCCTACCCAGTGTGCCCAGATGCAGAGGTGTGGCCAGGAGGCACCTGCGTGTCGGAGGAGTTAGGGGTGGTGTAGACAGAAATGGAACACAGGGTGTGGGGTGGGATGTGGCCGGACAAGGCTGATCTGCAGGACCCTCTGACAGATCGCCTGTGGGAGTGAGGGAAAGAGAAGAACGGGATGTCTCCTAAGCTGTTAGCATGAGCAGCTAGGTGAATGTTGGTGCAGACCAGGGAGGCTCAGAAAAAGGCCCGTGTGGACACACTAAGTGGGAGGTGTCTGTTAGAATGAGGCTTCTACTCGGTGTCTCTGAACCGCCTCAGAGCTTGGTTTGCGCTTTCCCGTATCACATTTATCCCTGGTCTTGTTCACTGCACTTTCTGTGAGTTGATGTAAGAAACTTGCCAAGCCCACCAAGCTACCCCCTTTCTATTCGGTCTATTCAGCTGCCCCTAGAGCAGGGGTGCCTGCGGTGTTCCAAGAGAACAAGAGACTGAGAAGAACTCCATTCCGAATGCAAGTGTGTCCTTCCACAGGTCTCCATCTCTAGCGCCTTCCTCTTTCTGTGCGTGCAGGTCCCATCCCTGTGGACGAGGGCAAGGGGGATAAAACCGGATGGATTAGTTTGCTTGGGGCTGGCCTCCGCAAGATTCAGAATCCTCTGATGCTGTCCAGGAAATCCCTGTCGACTTATGAACCCCGTGCTCACCGTCCAGTCCAGCCACATGAGACATTTGCCCTGTTCAGAAGTGGGAGCCAAAACGGATTGACTGCACTGAGGCGGACGATAATGTGGAAATAGATGTTCAGTTGTTAAATTCTGGCAACAGTTATCTTTACTTCCACTGACCAAAAAACCTTGTTAAGAAAGCCTTATTTTTTGTTACAAATAATAAGACTTCTCACACATACTCCTGGGTAGGC